GTCCGGGACGCGAACTGCGGTCGACCATGTGGGAGTCCAGCGACATAGCCATTATGCTAACTGCTGGTTCCCAACACATGGTTTTTTCTATAGGGAACATCACAGCCTTCTTGTGCTTAGAAATGTTACACAGAACTTCAGCACTTTGTTAAGGAATTTTGGTGTTTTGTAAAAACACTAAAACCACATGGTATTATGTTTGGTGTTTTTTTATTAAACAGCAAACTCACCAAGAAAAAGAACAAAAATGCACAAGGTGTGGCACTAAATAGACAATGAAAAGGACATTATTTACAGTATGAGAACTGGAGAAAAAAGGCAAAGTATTGTATTTCCATGTTCAACCTCAGTTGGGAATATATACATTAGGCAACTCAAATATTAGTGGGGCAGACAAATTTACAAATACTGAATCTGCAAATAACAAGGGTTGACTCAATGTAGAAGTAAAGTATGTGAAGATAGTATAGCAATAGCACAAAGGGCTGGCAGGGTAAATTATATTATCTCGAAGTTTTTATTTTTGGTGAAATGCACTATTAGTTTAGATTAGACTGATAAGTTAGGGATTATATTGTAATGCCTAGACCCATCACTAACAAAAAAGTATAAGTATCAAAACAACACAAACAATAAAATAAAATACTAAAAAATGACTCACCTAGGGATCAGCAGGTGGCATGATGGTTAAGGCACTTAACTCCCATATGGCTGACCGTGGTTCAAGCTAGGCCTGATGGCTTGCTTTCTTACTTCCTCTTTCTCCCTCCAGTGAGCAAAAAAAAAAAAAAAAAAAAAAAAAAAAAAAAATTTTTGAGAGGTTTTTGCTATAGGGAGTGTGTGCTTGCCAGAAAGACAGAGAGATAGAAAGCGAGAAATCCCACCCCCAGGGGGGATGGCCACGCTGCAGTTCCTTCTTCTCCATTCCCCTCTCGGGATCTTGGGCACGCACACACACATGCCCAGCGTGAGTTTAAGCCACCGGGTCCAGGACTTCAACCACAGTCGACTACATGGGAGTCCAGTGACATAGCCATTAAGCTAACTACTGATCCTTCAATAGCAAATTTTAAAATAATAATAAATTAAAATTTAAAATCCTTTTAAAAAAAAGACACTCTACTCCCCCCAAAAAATGAAAAAGGAGAAACAAAAAAAGCAGATGAGACAAATAGAAACTAAATAATTATATGATTTGAATACCACCATTTGGATAATTACACTAAATGTAAATGAAATAATTCTCTAATTCAAAGAAAGATTGTCAGTTTGGATTTTAAAAAACACACAGTATTGGGAACCAGCAGTTAGCGTAATGGCTATGTCGCTGGACTCCCACTTAGTCGACTGTGGTTCGCGTCCTGGACCCGGTTGCTTAGAACTCACGCCAGGCGCGTGTGCGTGCGTGCCCAAGATCCCTAGAGGAGAATGGAAGGGAAGGGATTGCAGTGTGACCATCCCCCCTGGGGGGTGATTTCTCGCTTTCTGTCTCTATGTCTTTCTCTGTCTGGCAAGCGCACGTGCCCTATAGCGAAAACCTCTCAAAAAAAAAAAAAATCAGTATTTACTATTTAGAAGAAATATAGGTTAGTATAAAATTATGAAAGTAAAAGACTGGTAAAAGATACTCCATGCAACTGTAATCAAAACAAAGGTGATGCAGTTACATTACTGTCAGGCATGTAAGGCTAGAATTAATTTAATGCATAAGGGAGGACATTCCATAATAATAAATGGGTCAAATTCAGTTAAGAAAAAATCATTCTAAATGTGTATGCATCTAACAAAATGGGTTCAAATGTATAAAGTGAAAGTTGCCAGAACTAAAGGAGAGCTAGATAATCTACATTATTATCAGCTTTTACCTAATTATTTATGTAGGGGTATAACACTATAATCAACTACATAATATATATTCTTTTCAAGTGTATGTGTGATATGTACCAAAATGAACCATATTGGACCATAGAGAAATTGTCAACAAATGTCAAAGGATTGAAATCACATGGTATATATTCTTTGATGACTTGGGATGATGTCAAAACTTAATGACAGAGAAATAACGAGAAAGTACCAAATGTTCACAGTTAAGTCATATACTTCTATATCAACTATGGGCCAACGAAATAATATTACAATGACAATTAGAAAATATTTTGAGTGTTAATAAAATCTGAGTTGTAGATTGCAGCCAAAGTAGTGCTTAGAGGGAAATTTATAGCTTTAAATACATAGTTTAAAAAGAAGTTGAAAGTCAGTTATTGGCACTTCCAACTTTAGAAGCCAGAAAAAAAACAACAAATTAAGCCCAAGAAAAGTAGAAGGAAATTAAAAAAAAGGGGGGGGGGCATAAAACAGTGAATAATAAGCAGACACGTGGTAGATAAAATCAACAAAGCCAAGAGTTGGTTCTTCCAAAAAATTAACTAAGAGGATGAACTCCTACTGAGAGTGATCAAGAAAAGAGAAGAAGAAAAAAGGATGAAAATGATCTAATCACTATAGATTCTGCATACATTAAAAAGATGAAGAAACTAGATAAAATAAGTTCTTTGAAAAAGAAAATGTTCTAAAATTGACAGAAGATTAATAGACAGTCCTTTTTTTTTTTTTTTTTTGCTTTGCTATAGGGCACATGTGGTCTCCAGAGAGAGAGACAGAGAGAGGAGGAAGGGAGAGAGAGGAAAGATGAGAAAGCACCCTCCGTGGGAGATGACCATGCCATGTTCCCTTCTTTTCCATTTTCCTCTTGGTATTTTGGGCATGCATACAGACATGCCTTGAGTATTTTTCAAGTCATTAGGTTTGAGACTCAAGCTGTGTAGTCAGCCATGTGGGATCAAGCCATCACTATGTCACCTGTTAGCCCAATTAATAGACAATTTTAATAATGTTACTGAAATGCCTCTTAATAAGTTGAATCTGTAGTTAAAAACCTCAATGATTCAATTCCCGGGTGGCTTCACTGATGAATTACTGCAGCATTTAAAAAAGTATTAATTCCAGTGTCACAAGGTCTTTCTAGATAATAAAAAAAGGAGAAACACATTTCAAATCATTTTATGAACATTAAATAATGATGCTATCAAAATGGAATGAGACCACTATAAGAAAATTATAAGGCCTGTATGAACAAATGTACAAGCCCATATACAAAATATTAGCATATAGAATCCAAAAATGCATCATAAGGCCAGCACATCATGACCAAGGTAGAATTAATTCCAGAATGCAAAATTGGCCTAATGTTAAAAAATCTATCATTGAAATTTAGCACAGTGACATGATGAAAGAAAAAAACAGTGAGTGCTCTTATCCTTGGCAACACTTTAAAATAATTAATCCATATTAAATATGTGCAGAATATCTCCAAAGAAGGAAAGGAGCATATTGGAAATCAGTGACATTTTATGGATTTTTTTACTGGTACAATTTTTTTTTTTTTTTTTAAGATTTTTGCCATAGGGCACCTGTGCTCACAGGAGAGAGACAGTGAGGTAAAGTGAAAAATTGCCCCCTAGGGTGATTTCCCTTCTGGGATTTTGGGCCCTCATGCACAAACACCTGGTATGAATTTCATGTCACTGTGTTTGAGACTCAAACTGCAGTTGGTCATGTGGGACTCCAGTGCCTTAACCATCAGGCCACCTGCTGGCTGCGTAATTCTCACTTTTAACAGCAGTTTTTGCCTTTAGCTCTTCTTCCAATCTGTTCCTCCTACTGTAGCCTAGTCTTCCTGAAGTCCAATTCCTACCTTGCCCTTACCTTACTTCACCTTTAGGGACTTCCTTAAAGATAAAGCTCTGATGAGCTGCATTCTGCCCACCTCTTTCCAGCCTCGTCTTTTGCTAGTTTTCCCCAAGCCTTGCCATACCATTCATGGGCTATTTGAAATTCCTTGATTTTGCTTGAGGCTTTTATTTTGCTCTCCTATCTTTTCCTTTCTACTTCCTTTTTACCTAATTAATTCCAACTCTTCTCTCAAGACTTAATTCTCACCTTTTCCTGACCCTCACCCAGGCAGCCTGTGGTACATATCCCTTTTGTATGATTCCACACTATATCTCGACTGTAGTACCTACTGTAATTAATCATTTTCTAGATTAGGTAATTGTTAGCTCCTTGAGGACAGTAAATTATGCCTGATTTATCTTCCGAGCCACTGTATCTGACATGGAACCCAACTTACAACATTGTCATTATCATTATAACCAACTTGTATCAAAAACTTACCATGGCAGACACTGTCCTAAGCACTGCACACTGTAACTCATAAAATCCTCATGACAACCTTAGGAGGCAGGTTCTATTTTTATCTCCACTTTACCCATGAGAAATGGAAAACTTACAAGGAACCTACCTGAGGACATCCAATGAAGAGGGAAGAGAGTCTGAATTTAAACCCAGAGCATATGCTGTAAGTACTATGTAATGATGCTCAAACAGCATTTGCTGAGTGAATGAATCCAGGACTTGAATGCAAGTCTCCAGCCTGAGGGCCTATGCCTACTCCATCATCTCACACATAGGACTCAGAAACAATATCTCCTTCTCCACCTTCAGTTGCTCAAGTCACATCTTCTTAGCCAAACGATAGAACCCATTAGTTGTACTTTCCTTTACAAGAGTACTTCAGAAAGTTTGCAGAAAAATGGAATTAAATGAGTTACAAATATTTTGAAGTCCTGCAGTTTTTTCCACTAGCTTTTAAGGACTTCTATATTTCTTTTATTAATATGGAACAGTCCTACATATAAAAAATATTTATTTACATATATTATGTATCTTCTATATATACATGTTATATGTAGGTTCCTTGGAAGCTTTCTATTTCTCATGGGTAAAGTGGAGATAAAAACAGAACCTGCCTTCTAAGGTTGTCATGAGGATTTGATGAGTTACAATGTGTAGTGCTTAGTACAGTAGATATAGAAGATACATATTACCTGTTCTTGCATGTTATATCAAGTGAACTAACTCATAGAAACACTTTTTTGTAGAGTTGAGGCACCTACTGAAAAAGAAGATGATTCTGCTGAAGAAGATGAAGAAGAAGGAGAAAGTGAAGAAAGCGGCGGTGAGGACGAAGAATCAGATGAGGAAGATGAAGAGAAGCAGGAAAATGAATCTCCTGAACAGGAAACGAGTAAAGAATACATTGCTGTTGGAGATTTTACTGCTCAGCAAGTCGGGGATCTTACATTTAAGGTAGGCAGCATAAGACTAGAACCTAATCTAAAGATAATTGTGCATACCTAACAGGATAAGAAACCGTACCCTTACATCTGTATTATTTTTAAAGACTATTTAATAGTAAGATTTTGAAGACTCATTCTGTTAAAATAAGTAATGATGATGATTTACAAGGAGTAGTAATATGAGATTCTATTACTAAAGGCAGCTCTTCTAAAGATTTTTGAAAATAGCTTTAATGTTGATAATTCCTAATGTGTAGCATTTTATAATTTATTTTTATTATATGTATAAATTTATTCAGATGAGTTAGACAATATACATAGCTCAAGACTCAAGAGAACACTTTATGCTGTTGCATAGCAAGTCATCGTCTTGACTCAGATATGAAAGGAGTTTGCATCCGTACGTGCTTGGCCTGTGCATAAATAAGCGGCAGGTAGGATGGAAGAAAACAGTTGTGGTTTTTAAAAGGATTAGAGACTGTGTGTCCTGTTAGACAAGTGAGAAAAATAAATTTAATAAATCCATATATGAATCTTGGTCCTGACATTTTTATAAATATATGTGTGTGTGTGTGTGTGTGTGTGTGTGTGTGTATACATATATATAATATATATTTACATATATATGTATTACATTTCAAAGTTTAATCATTGAGTATTAATAAAATGCGCAAGAATATTATACAACTAATTAAATGGTCTAATTCTTAGGGTTTGTTGTTTTTTCCAAATTATCCTGGAAAATGCCATTAATATTAGACAATAATATGTACATTTTTTTGTATCAGTTATTTAATTAGCTTTTTGGCAAGAAATTCAGAACATCAATTTATGAGAATAAACTCTATTTGTAAGGGCAGACATGGATCACACATAACCCAGGAGCTGAGGAACAACTTTGATTTTTGGTAAAATTTTGTGAGTCCATAGCTTTCTGATCAACCTTGTGCTGCTCTGGTAATCTCGTATTTCTCTTTCTCTGTGTTGAATATCTCACCTTCCTAGTGTCTGGGTTTCTTTTTCTTTTTGTCTCTCTTTTCCTTTCTTTCTTTTTTTTTTTTAAGGTTTTTGCTATAAGTGCATGTGCTCACTGGGGAGAGAGACAAGGAACAAGAAATCACGCACACACACACACACACACACACACACACAGACACCAGTGGGAATGACCACACCATAATCCCTATTCTTCCATCTCTTCTTTGGATTTGGGGCATCTGCACATATGTGCCTAGCGTGATTTTCAAGTCACTGGGTCTGGGACTCAAACAGTGGCTGTCCATGTGGGAATCTAGCGCCTTAACCACCATGCCACCTGCTGGCCTTTTCCTTGAAACGAAGTGTTTTGGGGATTTTTACTTTGCTAATACCAATTTTCGTGGAGGTGGCAATAATGAATTTTTGTTGTATTCACAATAGAACTCGATTGTGGACCAGAGGTCCAGTCACAAGTAGTAAACCACTGCTGAGCTTCAGGAAAACCACTTTCTTGCCCTGTGGGGTCCAGTGAGGATGCTCAGAATGGTCCAGGGAGTGATACTGGCTTGCAGCTTTCTCACATGCTGCTGAAGGTTTTGTTTTGTTTTGTTTTGTTTTGTTTTTGCTGTGGCTCAACAGCTTTTGAGGCACATCTTCAGTAGGGTAATACCTAGGCATTTTGCAAAGTTTAACCACCAGAGTACCACCATTCTTGTCACTACCAACTGGTTTTGTGGCAGTGGCAAGAATCTTCTTTTTCTTTTCAAATCTGGATTTAGTGGCCGTTATTTTCATCTTGTGTATGGCCTTCCTGGAATACATGGCTGACTGGCAGTATCTGCTGATTCCTCAGACTAGGATCAGGTTTCAGCTGCAGTGGGGCTTCCTCTTCTTGGGCTTTTTAGCCTTGGAGGAGTCACCTTTTTTAACCTTGTCACTGGCATCAGCCTTCTTGGCTTCAGATTTCTTCTCCTGAGTATCTGACTTTTCAACTTTTCTACCCTCTATCTTGTATAGTGAGAAAGAGGACTACATACATATTTTTAAAAAATAAGGCATGTACACTTGTGAAAAGGGGCGGGAGAAAGCATTGGCAAGACAGAAACGTCAGGTTACTTATAAACGTTATCCAACCAGGTTAACCTCAGACCTCTCATTAGAAACAATGTGAGCAAGGAAAGAATGGGAAAGTATATTCGAAGTGTTAAGTGAAAAACAATTTTAACCAAGAATACTATACCCAGCAAGATTATCTTTCATATGGGAAGAAAGGATAAGAACATTTTTAGATAAACAAGACCTGAAAGAATTTGCCAATAGCAGACCCACTCGTCAAGAAGTTCTGAAAGGAATGCTCTACCAGGAAAACTAAAGACACATAACAGAAATAAGAGAAAAAACAGCAACTAAGAAAATGACCAACTTAATGCTAGGGATAGGAAATGTCAAAAATAACACTGAATGTTAACTTCCAGGATTTAAACGGAAAGATTGGACCACAGTAACACTGCATACTCAACAGAAGAGAGTTTGAACATAAAACTGAAATGGCGAAATAGAATTTTATGTCTTTTGAGTAAAACATGACTGATGTTTTTTTTTTACAATGCTTTGTTTTCCCAATTTAAACATTTTACTTTCTTTTTTTTTTGGAGAGATTTTCACTGTAGGTCGCGTGCGCTCGCCAGACAGACAGAGAGAGACATAGAGACAGAAAGCGAGAAATAACCCCTCAGGGGGGATGGTCACGCCGCAATCCCTTCTCCATTCTCCTCTCGGGATCTTGGGCACGCACGCACACGCGCCCAGCGTGAGTTTTAAGCCACCGGGTCCGGGACACGAACCGCGGTCGACTACGTGGGAGTCCAGCAACATAGCCATTACGCTAACTGCTGGTTCCCAACATTTTACTTTCTTTTGAGTTATCGATAGGTTCAGCAATTTGTTAAAATATTTTTCTTGTTTGTTTTTTTAAATGGAAACATAAACTTCTTCCTTCCTGACCCCTCTGGATTCGGAAAATATTTGGGAGTATTCTTATTTTGTGGCAGAAGGGTTATTTGCATAAGTTCAATAATGCTTGTTGCATTGAATCAGAAATTAGAAATACTCGTTACCGGACAGGGCTTTGACTGGAATGTCATACCTGAAGATTAATCAGAAAACCATGGAACTAAAGTGGATCTCAAGTAGGCCAACAGAAGCTCTTAGAAAGATGGACTGACACCATAAATTGTTCTGCCTGGCAGAGAGGATTAGAGAAGATATATGAAAGAATTTAAAACATAAAATAACCTGGACTTATCCAGCCCAACATTGTAATCAGTAGAGACTGCAAAAGAGCAACCACACCAGAGGATTATCTTGAGAAAGACTTTGAAGGAAGAAAAAGAGACTGATCTTTGCTAGCAGATGGTATATCTCAGAACACTTGGTAGGCAGGGCTGAATTGAGAAGGTTTAGTGTGACTTGTGTGCTGCGCATTTGCTTTTCAACAGTTTGGGTAGTTGACATGTAAATATTTTCTCAAAAGTATTTCAAACCATACTATCTCTGCTGTTATAGAGTCACAAACAAAATTATACAAAATTATAAGAAATATTTTGAACATTATCTTTAAAATTCAGTATTCTGAAATTTTGAAAGTTGTTTATTAACTGTCAAGAACTATGGAGTACGAACAAGATTTTTTTGATACGTAAAGTAAATGTTTGTGGAAAAAATATAAAAATAAATAAATAAAAAAGAAAGAAAGCATTCCCCAATGGGTCATGGTCTTGCCACAATCCCTTCTCCTCCATTTCTCTATTCTGTTGGGATTTGGGGCACACACATACACATGCCTGATGTATTGTTTAATTTGCCAGAGCTGGTAGTTGCGCCACAATTGGTCACATGGAATCTGGCTTCTTAACCATTAGGCTACAGGGTTGGTCTGACAATAATGTGTATTTTAAAGAAAATCTTAGCTTTTAAATACCTTCAGTAGTAGAAATACTTTGTTCTTCAAAGATAGATTGTATTTTTATAACTGGATGAGTGTTATTCAAAACATACATGATTTGTTGGGTGGGTAATGATATTAGGTAAGTACTATTTTTACTTCTACATAGGATTTTTCTTTCTTTTCTTTTCTTTTTTTGTAGTTTTTTTTTTTTTTTTTTTTGCTATAGGATGTGTACATTCACCAGAGAGACAGAGGAAAGTGAGAAATCATTCCCCAGTGGGACAGCCATGTCACATGTGCATGCCCTTCTCCACTTGAGATGCTGAGCATGCACGCACACATGCCCAACATATTTTCCAAGCTGCCAAATCCAAGACTTGAACCAGGCACTTAGCTGTGTGAAATCCAGCTACCTTAACCGGCCACACCGTCTGGCTGATCCTCTATGAAGGATTTAACTTTGATGGAATTTATTTTCTTCAGAGAAGTATATGCTAGTTCTGAAAGACATTTTTCCAACAAGAAATTTAAAAGTTCAAAAATATTTTACATAATAGTCAAATCACTGAAATAAGTATGGATACCTGAAAATGATTGTGAAAAATAATTTCCATTTGCATGTATGGTTCAATTGTGTGTGAGGTAAACAAGAGGAAAGATTCACTTAAAATTATATTTATAGTCCCATAGATTCAAAGATAGAAAGGAAGATTTTGATAAAAATTGGGAGAAATATGGGACCAGCATTTGGAGTTAATGGTTACATCTCTGGAGTCCCAAGAAGTCGATTGCAGTTTGAGTTTGGACCCAGTGGCTTAAAACTCACACCGGGCACGTGTCCATGAGTTCCCAAATCCTGAGATGAGAATGGAGGAGAAGGGATTGCATTGTGGCCATCCCTCCTAGGGGGTGATTTCTCTCTTTCTGTTTCTCTGTCTCTCTCTCTCTCTCCAGTGAGCACATGGGCCCTATAGCAAAATACTCTCTTAAAAAAAATTAGCAGAAGTAATAGATTAAGAAAAGACTTCAGCTTTTTTTCAACATGTGTTTTAAAGTATTAGTAATAAAATATACTCATGATTATTGAAATTTATTTTGTATGTTTTACTTTGTTTTCTTTAAGAAAGGAGAAATTCTATTTATAATTAAAAAAAACACAGATGGTTGGTGGATAGCTAAAAATGCCAAAGGAAATGAAGGTCTCATTCCCAGAACCTACCTGGAGGTTAGTCTTTATTGTTTGTTTTCTTTTTCTACATTAAAACTTATTCTATCTTTAATAAAACTTTAAGCTATGTACTTTGATCAAGTGACTAGTGCATAATCTGTGATGCAGAATTTGCTTTAATACTGTATACTGCGCACCAGTTATCCTGGGAACCTGTGCAGTGCTCTTATGCATGTGAGCTCTAGCATGTTATCTCACACTGGAGATGCTTTGTGGCTTGATGCTGATGGTAACAGTTAATAGGTGCTTACAGTTGTGGACCATAACCACAGTTAACTTTGTTAGCTTGCACAAATATTAGGTTGTCGAGAAAGCCAAGATGTATTTGTCTATGTTTTTCTGTGCAAAAATGCATCATAATTTTCCTGACGACCCAATATATGAATCCCTTTACTACAGTATGAACATACTATATATGCATGTTTGTGGCCTATTTTTTTAGATTTCACAATATAGAATGCTCATTTTCCATGCCAAGAAATGTAGATACCTATCTGGATCAGTGTTGTCCAACAGAAATATAATGCAAATCACATATGTAACTAAATTTTCCAGTAACTACATTGAAATTTCTTTTTTCTGACACTACTTTTTACAAGTTTGTATGTTTGTTTGTTTGTTTATTTCATGGCAGAGGGAATAGAGAGAACTAGAGAGAAGCTAACAGTCTCCTCACACCACATTCCATCCCAGGTTAGCACAGATCCCACAGGACTGCACCCTGACTTCAGATGCCAGTTATAAGTCTCAGGAGCCACGTGTTCTTCTAGCCTAGCACCTTGGGCTCTACATTCAGGAGTTCTTTTTTTTTTTTTTTTTTTTCCTTGTTATCTTTCTCTATCCTCTTCTCTCTCTCTTTTTTTTATAGTTTATTTTTTATTATAATTTTTTTTCCCATCACAACACACAAATGAATTTTCCATCCAAAATACACTGTGCATTGGCTTAATCAAGCACGTCAACATATATGTTCTCAGCAAATAATTTCCCAATTCTTGTGTCCTGCATACCTTGCCTTTTGTTTTCCCATCCTAGATTCCCCATCCCTCTCCCTCTGTTATGACCCATCCTCCTCCCACATTGTCCCTGGCATCCACGATTGCCCTCCGTGCCTCCCCCCTCCCCAAATGATCTATCAGTGAACTTAATTAGTCTAAATATATCCAATAGTTATCGCAGCTGACACATACCTATACATGAACTCAAGTCTGACTTTAGGCCTAAACTCCAGTGAGTAAAAAGAGCATACTATAAAGTAGAACCCAGCTGGGCCCATACCGCTCACTGCAGCCATCAAATATCCATTTTTTTTTAAATGGTACGAATAGTTTTACCGTTTTTTTGTTTGTTTGTTTGTTTGTTTGTTTGTTTGTTTGTTTGTTTGTTTGTTTGTTTGTTTGTTTGTTTGTTTGTTTGTTTGTTTTTGTTACCTAACATTCATTCCCTGAGCATCATCACAACGTACTAAATGTCAATTCCCATCTAGAATAGTCTGCATAGTGACTTAATCAAGCATGTTATCATCAATAATATTCCATTTCTACTTACTTGCTTATGTGTATATATATGGTTTTTTTTCTCTTCCTCTTTTTTTTTCCCTATGTTTGTCCCTCTGCCCTTTCCCACTCCCCCATGACAATATCTCTGCTATATACAATTGTCTTCCAGAAGAGTTATTGAAAAAGTGATACATACAAGGAAAGGGAGAGAGGCCACGAGTTCCAATTATCAGCTCATAAAGTTTTTGACAATAGGGAGCATAGATTCTATTCAGGGTTGGATTAAGGGAGGGTCTCCGGCAGATCCACAAGTGTAGGTGAGTCTCCAGGGAATGCAGTTTCAGGAAAGCAGTTCTGGTACGCAGGGATGATTATCAGCTAATGCGGCAGGCACAGCAGTCATCTGGTTGTTACCAGGAATGATGTTGATTCCTGGCTGCGTGGGAGCCCCGGCCCCAGCCCCCCCCCCAGGGGGGGAGCCAGGCCATTCTGGGGGCATGGGGGGAGCCAGGCCGGGATTTCCTACTTCAATAGAGAGGAGTCACAGACTCAGGAAAACACTTGCCTTGTACTTACCAGTTTAAGATACGACTCGGGCATGAAAAAGTGGAAGAGATACCTAGGGCAAGGTATTGGTAGGCCAATGACCTGCATGTCCTCTCCAGGCACTCCACCCTCCCAGTAGTTAAATTTGCCAGCCTAGAAGCTGTCAGACCCTGTGTTTAGGGTGTTTTCTTTTTTTTTTCTTATGGAGATTTCATTAATTATGCTAGCTAAATCATTGCCTATTGATTATTGAGTACTCTCCAACTCCTCTTCCCTCCTGAAGTTTGGAGCGTGGAGCTGAAAGCTCTAACTTCTAATCCTGAAGTAGCCTAGGGGCCTATCTAGTGTCACCTCATTACCATAGATTTGGGAACACTTGGAAGAAACTCAGGAATAAGAAATCACAGTCCCATCTTTAATGAAATGCCAAGGATTATAGAAGCTCTGTGCCAGAGACCAGGGACAAAGGCCTATTTCAGTGTAATCAGTATTTTTAAATGTTGAGCTGTTTCCTTTTCTTTTTTTTATATTAAATTCAAAACGGAGTATGTGTTTAACATTTATAGCACATCTGAATTTGGAACAGTTTCCAGAGCTCACAAACATGTGTGAGGGGCTGGTAGATTGTACGGTGCAGATCCAGACCCTCTTTTTCAGTGACAGCAAATATTCCAATCTCATTTATGGGGACATTCAGGTTGTTTCCAATCTATAATCACTACCAATTATAGAAAAAAATTATGCTGAGCTTCCCTTGTAAATAACAAAAGTTACCCCCAAAAGTGACTTAAATAGTGTATTTTTCTCCTCTGTGGAAGAAGTGTGCAGATGGGCAATCAAGGCCTGGTGAAGGCCCCATCTATTATTTTCTCTGTAGTTAGGTGTGAGGCATCTCTCCCTAGAGTGACCTCTTAGTTTGAAGTGCGCTGCTGGGTCATTTAATGATTCCAGGCCAGTGTACGGAAAAGGAGAAGGGTCAAAGCTGCTCCCTTTATGCTACACAGAAAAATTTCTGTTATCTCTCCTCGACCAGCGTTTAGTTCCCAGGCAACACCTACCTGCAAGGAAGGCTGTGAGGATGTAGCCTCTTAGCTGACTCATTGCCAGCATCAGGGATTCTGTTAGAAAAGAAGTGGTAGCCAGCCAGCAACCTTTGCATTGATCAGCCCATACAGACATCATTGTAGACTTGCCTGATTATTCCCCTTAGATAAAGTCCTGGAGGGATGGTCATCACTGATTTAAAGGTTTACACCTTTGTATTTTGATTTATTGTGTCAGTTTGCTGCTCAGGAAAGTGAAACCAGTTTGTATTCCCACCCCCAGCCTCCTAGCACCTGAGAGTGCTCATTTCCCTGCATATCTACCGGGAATGGCTGTATCCATCTTTGTGACCAGCAAAAAGAAAGTCTCGTTATTTTTATTTACATTCATTGTATTCCTAATGAATGATGCGGAGCATAATTTCATATGCTTCATGACTATTTGTGTTTGTTCTTTGTGAATTGCTATTTCTTTTTTTTGGGCCATTTTTCTAAGAGATTTGAAAAAAATCTTTTTCTTGTTGACTTATAGAGCTTTTGTAACATTTTAATAAAGATATTTATCCTTCAAAATTTATGTTAAATATTCTCGTTGTTGACTTTCAGCCATGTTTGTTGGTTGGTTGGTTGGATTATTGTTGCCAGAGGGTGCATGCACTCACCAGAGAGAGAGAGAGAGCCAACACCCAGTGGGGTGCAGTCATGCCACAATCCATTTTCTCCCATTTCTCCATTCCATCAGATTTTTGGACATACACACATACAACTGGCATGTTTTTCAAGCCTTCAGGGCTAGGTTTTGTACCGCTAGGTTTTGTACCACAGTTGGCGTGTGGTAACTGGCTCCCTATGCATAACAATTGGTGCTCGGTGGACCTAGGCCCCCAGGCATTTTTTTTTTTTTAATTTTGCTGTATGGCCACACCCTAGTCCCTTCCCCATTTTCCTCTTGGGATTTTAGGCATGCACATATGTATGCTCTGTGTACTTTTTAGGCCTCCGGGTCTGAAACTCACACCACTCAGTTGGCCAAGTGGCATCTAGCCTCCTGAACTACTGTGCAGCCTGGCTGGCCCTATTGTGTTTATTTTTTATGTAGCTAAATCTGTTAATGTTTTTATTTATAATTTTTGGTTTTAGTAGCATAATTGAAAAAGCCTTTTCCATCTCAAGATTATTTTCTGTTAACACTTTTATATTACTTTTATTTATATAGTTACTTTTTTAAAAAATTTGAATTCTTCCACTTGGATTTTATTTTGATTAAACTAGCTGTCTCTCTCAGTCCTTGTCATTTTTTGAAATAGTGACATTATCAATCATGTGTTGAAAAATTTTTTCCACTGAGTTTTGATACGTTCATTTTGTATCCAATTCCCATTTGTGCTCAAGTCTTTCTGAAAGTACTAGTATTTTTATTTTTATTATTTTTATTTTTTACATTTGTTACAAAGCACTTCATATTTCCATGATTTTTTTCAGCCCTATAATAAAGAAGACAGCAGCCAAGAATCAAGTGCGGAGGGCAGTGAGGATGATGTGGAGGTGGGGGATGAGACAGCGGACGGAGCAGAAGTTAAACAAAGGTGCGTGCTGCCAGAGGATGGCAGAGCAGGTTCAGGGAACTTTTCATTTATTTTTGCTGTTAATAATAACTCAAGAATTTCTTGAAATGGAGACAACTTGCACATGAGAACTTTTTGTATTGTCTTTCAAGATCATGACTACTCTATTTTGTATTAATTATTTTTAGTGCATTTGGTTCAATCTTGGTTTGATCTAGAAATTTTCAGATTTTCACAACTCACCAAAGATGATGGATTTTATTCTTTGATTAATGAAGTTCCTTAACTGAGTGAATAGCTGTAACCTGCCCCTATACTCACCTTGCTGTTTTCCCTCCCCAGAACTGATTCCCACTGGAGTGCTGTTCAAAAGGCCATGTCAGAGGTGGGTATCTGCTGTCTCATTAATGATGTCTGGTTCTGTTTCCTAATAGTTCTGATTGAGTTCAGATTCAAAACAGAGGGAGACTGTGGAGAATAGCAGTGGATCTCTAGCAGGGTGTAGGGCATGGGATGTAAGAATAGAAGACACATATCTCTGGTTTAGTAATAAGCCCATGCCTCAAGTACCATTTCTCATTGGGTTCGTTGTGCAAAAAGTCCATGAACTCATTCATAATATCATTTTAGGGCTTGGGAATAGTCTCATTGATCCTACCTAGATTTTCTATCATTTGGTATATTAAATTTCTGTTTTAATATACCAAAGATAGATATTAAATTTCTGTTACTCTTTGAAAAATTATGAAAAGCTCAAAAAAGTAAATTTTCCATAATCTTCCCATTTAAAAAATTACATAGGAAAAGGAAAATTATTACCTAGAAAATTGTTAATCCTTCCCCTACCATTAAGTTTAGTAAGTATCCTTCTTGATCTTTTCCTCTGCTTGTTACTAATAAGAACATGCTTATATATGTGTTCATGTACACATGTGTACACTTATATTCAAAAAATCTATCATTCAGCGTGTGTCAGTTGACAATATGAATTCATCTGTTAAGTACGAATACACTGGATCAGGAGGAAGCACGTACCTACTGGAAGCAGCTGACTTAGATCACAATGCTTTGTACTGGTCACTAAATGGGGCTTGGGTCTTTGGAAGAGGCCAGGCTTTATTTTCTGTTAATACTTTTATATTTCTTTTATTTCTATAGTTACTTTTTAAAAAAATTTGAATGCATCCATTTGGAATTTATTTTGATTAAACTGGCTCTCTCCCTCAATCTTTGTCATTTTTTGAAATAGTGGCATTATCAACCATGTGTTGAAAATTCTCTCAGAAATTTGGGGTTCAATTACAATATTCTTCCACAAAAGCCTGTATGTTCGTATTTTTCTTTTTGGGTTTATGGTTGCTGTAATGTTAGAGAAAGTATATTGGTGAGGAGACGTGGAAGAAGAAGACAAGCAAGCCAATTTCGTTTTGACTGTCTCTAGCAGATAAACACTGCGGACGTGCTAACCACGATGGGAGCCATTCCTGCAGGGTTCAGGCCTTCCACACTCTCCCAGCTTCTGGAAGAAGGTAACACATGTCTGTCAACCACTGTATGCTTATGTTAACTAGTCAGGGTTCAAGTCTGACTTTTCTGCCTTAGCCAAAACAGGTGTTGAAAACGTTCAGTCTCACATCTCTTCAGCACTCGTCTTTTCCTTGTCCTTCCTGTCACAGTGAGGAAGGGCCTGATCCTGTCAGAGATCAGCCTGTTTGCCTGGGCTCTGGATTTCAGCTCTATTTTTTTTTTTTTTTTAATGTGACTCCTTTACTTAGCCCTTTCCTGAATCTTTATCCTGCTTTCTCCTCCTCCCCACTGATCCTACTGTTTCATCCCCCTTCAGTAGAAGCAGCACATCTAGTAACTTCTGCCTTTAAGAACCATCCCTGGGCCCGCCAATGGCAGAGTGGTAAGATACTGGGTTGTAGGGACA